CCCCCCTCTCTCTCTCCCCCTCTCTCTCCTCCATGGGAGGACACAGCAAGAAGACAGCCGTCTATGAGCCAGGAAGAGAAATCTCACCAGCAGCCAACCCTGCTGGCTCTTGAATCCTAGGCTTCCAGGCTCCAGGACCGTGAGAAAATACATTTCTGTGTTGAAGCCGCCCATCTGTGGTCCTCTATGACGACAGTCCTAGCAGATAACACAGTGTCCCTCTTTGTCCACTGCTCTCATAAAAGCCAGAGTATCTTATATAAATGAAAATAGGTCGGGCTTCCCTGGTGGCGCAGTGGTTGAGAGTCCGCCTGCCGATGCAGGGGACACGGGTTCATGCCCCGGTCCGGGAAGATCCCACATGCCGTGGAGGGGCTGGGCCCGTGAGCCATGGCCGCTGAGCCTGTGCGTCGGGAGGCTGTGCTCGGCAACGGGAGAGGCCACAACACTGAGAGGCCTGCGTACCGCAAAACAAAACAAACAAACGAAAAAAGGTCATTTGTGCATGTTCTGTTATATAGGTAGAATATCCCAGGATAAAATATTGCAGGTCGAATATAATCTAAGTCTTCAGCACAGCCTCCAAGGTTTTATATGACCCGCTTCCCAATCTTCTCTCCAGCTTTACCTTCTACGCGTCTTCTGTGTTCACAGAAGCATCCTCCTGTCACCGGAGTTCTTCCACATTTGCCCCAGAGTCCCACGGCCCTTTCAGTCGCTTGATCACACACACAGTGGTGCCAGAACAGGTCTAATGGACTTTCCTGAGCACATCAGCGGAATTCTTATCTGTATTTTTCTGTCTTTATCACTCAGCTGTTTGCAGCACGGACGTGTGTACTGGGTGTTTCCTCAATCGTTATTTTAGTTCAAGATTTCAAGCAAGAAGAGACCATCACACTGGCAGGCTTCTAGGTGCTGGGACACAGCAGTGATCAAGACAGACAAAAGCATCAACTCAAAGAGCCTATAAGGTAAAAGTAACCCTTAGAGTATCAGAAAGGTAACAAGCAGAATGGAGAATAAATCCGCAACGAGGATGGGAGGGAGACTGCAGATGGCCATGAACGTGGTCAGAATCAGTCTGCCTGTGAAGTTGACTTTTGGCAAATCTGAAGGAGGTAAGAGGGGAAGCCATGGGGATGTCTGGGGGAAAATTCCAGGAGGAGGGGACCACAAGGGTGTAGACCCTGAGGATGAACATACGTGGTTAACTGGAAGAGCAGGAAGGACACTGGAATGGAGTGAGCCAGGGAGAGAGGGTGGGGCGGGGGGAGGAAGAGACCAGCCAGTGCACTGTCTATAGGTCAGGGAAGAAAGGTGGGGTTTTTTTGTTTCTTTTCCAGTATAGTTTATTACAGTATATCGAGTAGAGTTTTCTATGCTGTACAGTAGGACCTCGTTGTGTGTGTATCCTATATAAACTAGTTTGCATCTGCTAATCCCACACTCCCAATTCTTCCCTCCCTCACCCCGCTCCCTCTAGGCTGATCTCTATGTCTGTGAGTCTGTTTCTGTTTTGTACATAAGTTCATTTGTATCTTTTTTTGATTCCACATATAAGCGATATCATATGGTATTTGTCTTTCTCTGTCTTACTTCACTCAGTATGATCATCTCTAGGTCCACCCATGTTGCTGCCAATGGCATGATTTCATTCTTTTTCATGGCTGAGTCATATTCCACTGTATGTATAGGTAGCACATCTTCTTTATCCGTTCCTCTGTGGATGGGCACTTAGGTTGCTTCCACGTCTCAGCTGTTGTAAACAGTCTGTAACGGGGTCTCCAGAAGGACTCCCTGGGAACATGGCACAGGGTAAAAGTCAAGTCATCTCTCAGCCAGGCACAACCACACAGCTGGGGGCACTCGGGTGAGTCCACGATTTAAAACTAAAGCTGTGGAAGGTAGTTTTCAGGGCGGTGGGAGGGTCCTCTGTGGGTCCAGCTGTGCCACCCTGTCTATCTGGGACTCAGGGGATTCTGTTGGGATGTCGGTCCTCACCTGTGGTTCAGTTGTACAGGTTTCCCTCTAGAAACTGTGCCTGCAGATTCCAGATGTGGTGACGGGCACGCTGCTTCTCAGGCAGCTGTGGAATGCGGACACTGCCGGCCTCCCCCTCGGTCTGCCCCCCTGCCCTTCCCACAGGGCTGCCCTGCTCGTCACGACCATCAGCTGTACCCCAGTGGCCGTGCTGAGCGTCACGGCTGGTGGGCAGGACTCTGGTTTACATTGCCCACCACCTGCCTCTGCTGGACGCCTGCCCGGATGGTAGGAACACATTGCTAGTGGTGCAGTTCCATACTTTAATGCTTGCTTTCTTTTTTTTCGTTTTATCTAGGGGTCTTTTCCATAGGCAACGAGGCCGAAACAGACGATGAAAGATAAGGGGTGTGTTTTTACCGATTTTTCGTGTACAGCAGTGTCATCGGGAGCAGGGCCACAGGTAGGATGACAAAGCATCCCACCCCCAGATACTGTCTCAAAAGAAAGCGTGAATGCAGACAAAATCCTCAAGGAGAGTTGTTCATTTGGACAGTGCCTTAAACGCACACTTTTTTTTTTACATGAAAATTACAATTAAAAATATATATATTTTAGGGGCTTCCCTGGTGGCGCAGTGGTTGAGAGTCCGCCTGCCAATGCAGGGGACATGGGTTCGTGCCCCAGTCCGGGAAGATCCCACATGCTGTGGAGCGGCTGGGCCCGTGAGCCATGGCCACTGAGCCTGCACGTCTGGAGCCTGTGCTCCGCAACAGGAGAGGCGGCAACAGTGCATACCGCAAAAAAAAAAAAAAAAATGTATGTATATATATATATATATATATATATATATACATATATTTTATACTGTAGTATAGTTGATTTATAGTGTTGTTATCTTCAGGTGTACAGCAAAGTGATTCAGTTATACCTATTCATGTATCCCTTTTTTTTTTTTTTGTAAGATTTAATTTTATTTATTTTTGGCTGTGTTGGGTCCTTGTTGCTACGCACGGGCTTTCTGTAGTTGCCGCGAGCGGGGCTACTCTTCATTGCAGTGCATGGGCTCTAGGTGCATGGGCTTCAATAGTGGCAGCACGTGGGCTCAGTAGTTGTGGCGCGCAGGCTCAGTAGTTGCGGCACACGGGCTTAGTTGCTCCGAGGCATGTGGGATCTTCCCGGACCAGGGCTCGAACCCGTGTCCCCTGCATTGGCAGGCAGATTCTTATCCACTGCGCCACCAGGGAAGTAAGTCCCTCATGTATCTGTTCCTTTTTCAAATTCTTTTCCCATTTAGGTTGTTACAGGATATTGAATATACTCCCCTGTGCTCTGCAGTAGGACCTTGTTGTTTATCTATTTTATAAGTACAGTACTGTGTATATGTCAATCCAAACTCCTAATTTATCCCTCCCTTCCCCCTTTAACCATAAGTGTGTTCTCTATGTCTGTGAGTCTATTTCTGTTTTGTACATAGATTCACTTGTATCATATTTTAGATTCCACATGTAAGTGATACCATATGGTATTTGTCTTTCTCTGACTTACTTCACTCAGTACGGTCATCTCTAGGTCCATCCATGTTGCTGCAGATGGCATGATTCTTTTTCACGGCTGAGTAATATTCCATTGTATATATGAACCACATCTTCTTTATTGATTCCTCTCTTGGTGGATGTTTAGGTTGCTTCTGTGTCTTGGCTGTTGTAAACAGCAACAGCACAGATTTTTTATGTAAAAATGAAAGAATCGCTTGTGCGTATCTTCACCCATCTGACTCGCTGGACTTAGTGCTGCTCATGCAGGAAAGGAATGAAAACGATGAGGCTCCTTTTGTTTTCTATTCAAGTTTACTGAGACGTAATTGTTTTCAGTAAAAGCAGCCCTTTCAGGTGGACAGGTGGGTGAGTTTTGAGCCCTGTGCACGGTTGTGGAATCAGCACCCCCAGTGAGTTGTGTACATTTCCATGCTCTCTTGTCATTTTGTTGCTGACATGGTTCCTCCACGGCCAGCCCCTGGCAACCATTATTCTGCTTCCTGCTTTAATAGCCCTCTTTCTGAAAAACAAATTTTCCTTTTTCATTAGATTTTCCTATTTTTCTTAACACATGGCTAGCTTTCAAGTACTTATGTGAATTATTTTATTATTTATTGTCCTTTTCCTAAGTAGCACACTGGGGAAAAGGAGAACAATTTATGCAGGAAATTGGAGTTCCCTGAAGATCTGGGTAACCCCATGGAAGTGTATCCCACTTGTGTTGGGGTGAGACCCATTTCCTCACCCACAGAAATCAGTTCCCAACGTCTGGATTTCAGGTAGCTTAGCAGCTGTGATGTTTGATGGGGAAGGGAACGTCGTTAGCGACAGGCCAAGTTCAGGAAGGAAGAGGTTTATAGTTATTATGAAATAGTGGCTCTATTTGCTGTGCTGTACAATATATCCTTATAGCTTATTTTTTACCTAGTACTTTGTACCTCTTACTCTGCTCCCCCTATAATGCCCCCCTCCCCCTCCCCACTAGGAACCACTCGTTTGTTCTCTAGATCTGGGAGTCTGCTTCTCTTTTGTTATATATTCACTACTTGATTGTATCTTTTAGATTCCACATGTAAGTGCGACCCTACAGTGGTTGTCTTTCTTCATCTGACTTACTTCACTTTGGAGGGAGCTACAGGGACTTACTTCACTTTGGAGGGAGCTACAGGTTTTAGGTTTTCCGCTTCCATAACGGTGAGAGATTGCAGAACCCATTGGCCCCATCACGCTGACCAGGGAGAGAATGCCAGGGTCAGACCTCAGGGACCATCTTCCTGCAGGGTCAGGGGAGGGCGGGGGTCCAGAGGCAGGAAGGAGCAGCTGAGAGTTTTGTTTTTTTTTGCGGTACGTGGGCCTCACTGCTGCAGCCTGACCCGTTGTGGAGCACAGGCTCTGGACGTGCAGGCTCAGTGGCCATGTCTCACGGGCCCAGCTGCTCTGTGGCATGTGGGATCTTCCTGGACCGGGGCATGAACCCACGTCTCCTGCATCGGCAGGCGGACTCTCAGCCACTGCACCACCAGGGAAGCCTGGATGATAGGCGAGTGAAGAGGTTACTGTGCATATGGAAATCCAGGGCGAGGCTGGTGGTTGAAGGAGAAAGGAGCTCGGCTGTTGCAGAGGCTGGCATGGAGCAGCACAGGTGGGACTTGGGTGATGTCCTGCCTGGTGAGGTGACGGAGGGGAACCGGGTGGCAGCGTGACACCTGGCGGGGGGGGGGGTTCTATGCCCAGAGTGGGGGCCACAGTGGGCAGCCTCGGGGACATGGAGGTGGGGACTACACTTCCCCAGGGAAGGGAGTCAGTGCATCCAGGCGCAAGGGAAAGTTTAAAGACAATGGAAACAAGCCAACAGGATGTCCATTAAATTGTGTATAATATATATTATAGTTATTATACTGCTATGCTATATTATGTATATTATATGTAACATACATATAATATAGATTATGCACAATGAGCACACAATATAGATTAAGGTATATTGTAGTATAGTAATATATACTAGTATACACTACATACTAGTATTAATATATACTATATGTTATATAGTAGTATATATATTACCATGTACTAGTATATACTAATTTTTGTATATGACATACATGTATCATATCTAGTATTTAAGGTTATACCATCTAATTTTTGGTACATTAAATTGTATATTATATATAGTATATTTCATATACATGTTAGATTTCACATATTATGATTTTACATTATATACTGTATGTTACATATTATATACAATTACATGTCAGAATGTATATTCTGTTGTATAATATATATGTCTATACATTATATTCGTATATACACATATTAATATATACCAATATATAATGTATATAATAATGTTTATACATTATATATACACCTATTAAGATATACTCATATATAATGTATAATATATGCAATTACACTGATTATATTTTATACCATGTATTACAACTTAAAAATGATACCTTGGGCTTCCCTGGTGGTGCAGTGGTTGAGAGTCCACCTGCCGATGGAGGGGACATGGGTTTGTGCCCTGGTCCAGGAAGATCCCACATGCCATGGAGCATCTGGGCCCATGAGCCATGGCAGCTGAGCCTGTGCTCTGCAATGGGAGAGGCCACAAGGTACTCGTGTGCCTCAAAAAAAAAAAAAGATACCTTAACTGTCATGCTGTCAAATGTTTTACGTTCTATATGCGTGTTGTATATTATAAATCATATTGTATGTGTATGATATATTGCCATATTTATAATGTTTATATTTGTTAGATCCACACACATATAATACAGGGTAGTGCACACATGAATATTACTTTCTTCGAGGCTGCTTCCCTTCAGACTCAAGACATTGAAGACCACGTATCACTTTCCTTAAGACTCCTCCTCAGGACCCTGTCACTGGAGACCATCCTGATGGACCGGCTGGACGCTCTTGTGTCACAGTGAGTTAGATCACACCCACCTTCAAGGGGAGGGGGCACAAGAATCAGACAACATCACAGCCTAATTTCAGATGCTCATCCGTATTAAGAAATACACCCTAAGGATAGGAGGAAACGAAAACGCACTTGTAGGACCCATGATAGGAAACTGGAGATGCTCAGTGGACAGTCTGTCACCTCCATCATCATGGGGATCTGTGCACGCGGCTTTTCATGCTTCTTTGAAGCCCTTCACTGATGACCCTATGCCTCCCTACAGTGCTTGGTGAGGTGGACATCCATCCTCGTGGACCCTGAGCCAGCCTGCAGGCCTGAACTCTCCACACCCGTGGATGAGCTGAGCCTCCTCGTGAAAAGGAGAAGAAAAGGAAGGGACAATTCTGGGCACCAACTTCCCCCAAATCCTGGAGCTCCAGGTCTGCAACCTCAGCAAGTACCCTCTGAACTACCCTGACTCTCATGGGCTGAATAGTGACACATGGCCCCAGGGAGGGAGGAGCCAGTTGCTAAGTAGACCATCCTGTGGGGACAGCGTCTGTTCATTCATAAATCCACCATCCCTTGTTTGGTTGGACAGGTAGAGCCATAATACCCACACTTAACTGTTTTTCCCCTAGGGTCCATTTTAGGTCACCCCCATCCCGTGATCTGGATCAGTATTCTCTACAATCTCGGGTTCTCCAAGGAATGACTCGTAAGCAGCATCTTGGGAAAATCCACCCCCCAATAATGCCCTCCCAGGAGCTGTTACCAAATCCACCCCCCAATAATGCCCTCCCAGGAACTGTTACTGTGGGTCCAAAGAGCTGGTTTCTCGTGGGGTCCATATTTACGTCGGGATAACACAGGCATCTCCTCTGTTCTGCGGTTATGAGATGTTGTCAGGAAGGGTCGACCACGTACGCTGAGATGTGACACATTGTTTCATTGGTGGTGGTGTTTCTTCTAGTTATGATTTCACGTCCCTAGTGACTCAGCAGGATCCCAGAAATCTCAGGCAATCAGAGAGAAGGAAAGGTTTGTGATGGACACTGCTGAATCCTTGACTTATCCTTGACAGGCTGTCAGCACTGCCCTGACGTCCTCGAGTGGCACTGCTTCCTGTGTTCGAGTCCCCTGGTTCTTTCAAGAAAATATCAGAGAATCCGTATCAGACAGTGTCATTGCTGGATTTTTCTACCCCCAGACAGCTGAGACTGTGATTATAGGCATTAGAATATAAGATGGGCACTTACCAGGTAGGTCGTGACACTAATCCTCTAATTATTTTGCCTTATTAACTCATGTCCTTGATTAGCACCTGACCAGGCTGGGCTGAGTTGGGTTTTAAGTGATGGTTGTTTTTCAGTGATACCGGGAGACAGATGGCCTGTTCTAAGAAGGTAATGGCTTTACAGTATTTTTCAGAGATTCCCCAGTAGAAATCACTTGGTGTTTCCATCAAACGGTTGCAGCATTTACTGAGCTGACTCAGATTCCCCTGGGAAGTGGTCTGCTCCTCCTCTCCTGGAGAGATCCAGAGAGATCCAGGAACCGGCAGATCCTCACCTTGTCGGTAAGTTTCTGAGCTGCCGGTTGCCTCACAGGTCCCATCTCCGTCACTAACCACCTTCCAGGCAAGCTTCCCACCTTGCAGAGAAAGTAAAGAGGCAAGTTACTTGCATAAGGGTGCACAGAGGCGGGAGGGGCGTGGAGCCTGGCACTCACAGGCACAGCTCACCAGCCACAAGGTGGAAAGCATCTTTCTCTTGGGCTGGAAAGGCTTGAGGGTGGGCTGCCTCTTCTGCCACCCGAGATCTGAAGGTTGGATGTGGCGATTGCATTCCTGTTGCAGGAACCGCCCCCCCCGGGGCTTTGAAGTTCAGTTGCAGTGCAGAACCCCTGCCCGGACAAACCAGCAATTCAGCCTTAGCCACCTTGGCACAATGCTCCTTGGCCGTGCATTCTTTTTCAGGCGTTATTCTTGGAGAGCCTGGCTGGGTGGCTGAAGAAGACCCAGAAGTGATGAAAGAGGCCGTTCAGGAGCCCACGTTGTCTACGCAGGTACACAAACCATTTCAGCTCGAGCATCTCGCTTCGGAGGGAAGGGGTGCAGCACTGGATCCATCAGAATTACACGCTAATTGATTATCTCCTTACCGTGTCCCCAGAACGTAAGCCATGGTGCATCCGCATCGTGTTCCACATGCCAGGATCTTGGCAACGAGAGGGGAACCCTGCAGAGGCGTGCGGTCACACCTGACACGGCAACCCTCTGCTTCTCACGGATCGAGCTGGATGGGGCAGCAGGTAGAGATACTGCTCCCCTTTGGAAGGTGAGCTGGAGACACTTGAGCCCTTCTTTCCTGGAGTTTGCAGTCTCTTAGGGAGATGCTCAAACAGTCCTCAAAATCAATAGGTTGACTTTCTCTCTACGTTACTTCTCATCTGTCCTAGTCATCTAATCTTCATAAGTCGTTGTTTCCCTGAAAGTGTCAGCTATCCCCCTGCTTAACATCCTTGGCTACTCTAAGAGCCAAGGACTTGGTAGCTTAAAAGAACAAAATGTGCCGTCTTACCGTTTTAAAGCTCTAAACTCAAGGGATCCGCAGGCTGGTTACTCCGGAGGCTCCAGGGGAGAATCTATTTCCTTCCTTTTCCACCTGCTGGAGGCGTCTGCCATCCTGAGCTTGTGGCCCCTTCCTTGATCATCAAAACGAGCAGCTCAGCATCTTGTAGTCAAATACTCCTCTGACGTCCTCTTTACAGGGACCCATGTGATGACACTGGACCACCTGTAAAACCCAGGTCACCTGTGCATCTCAAGGTGCTTAGCAGGACCACATGTGCCAACTCCCTTTTGCTACGTAAGTTCACATATTCACAACGTTCGGGTATTAGGACATGGACATCTTTGGGGACATTACTCAGCTGACCACAGCAGGCGTCTCAACACTGGACTTGGTGGTGGACAACAGAGGCCAGAAATAAACCCACACACCTATGGTCAATTAATATTTGACAAAGGACACAAGAATACACAATGGGAAAAAGTCTCTTCAGCAAGTGGTGCTGGGAAAGTTGGAGACATGCATGTAAATCAATTAAGTTCAGACACGGCACCATCAAACTCCCGGAAGAGAACATAGGCAAAACATTCTCTCAGAGATCATACCAATGTTTTCTTAGGTCAGTCTCCCAAGGCACCATCAAACTCCCAGAAGAGAACATAGGCAAAACATTCTCTCAGAGATCATACCAATGTTTTCTTAGGTCAGTCTCCCAAGGCAATAGAAGTATAAACAAATGGGACCTAATCAAACTTAGCAAAGTATAGAATGGGAGAAAATATTTGCAAGCAATGAAGGGCTTAATTTCCAAAATCTACAAACAGCTCATACAACTCAACAACAACAGAAGACAATCCAATCGAAAAATGGGCAGAAGACCTAAATAGACATTTCTTCCAAGAACACATACAGATGGCCAAGAGGCACATGAAAAGATGCTCAACATCGCTAATTATTAGAGAAACTACAGTGAGGTAACACCTCACACCCATCAGAATGGCCATCGTCAAAAAGTCTACAAATAGTAATACATGCTGGGGAGGTTGTGAAGGAAAGGGAACCCTCCTGCACTGTTGGTGGGAACGTAAGTTGGTGCAGCCACTATGGAGAACAGGATAACAGAAGTACCATACATACGACCCAGCAATCCTACTGGGCATATACCCTGACAAAACCAGAATTCAAAAAGATACAGGCACCCCAATGTTTATAGCAGCACAATTTACAATAGCCAGGCAGCAACATGGATGGACCTAGAGATGATCATACTAAGTGAAGTAAATCAGAGACAAATACCACCTGATATCACTTATATGTGGAACCTGAAAAATGAACTTATTTATGAAGCAGAAACAGACTCACAGACATAGAAAACAAATGCATGGTTACCAAAGGGGAAGGGTGGGGGAAGGATGAATTAGGAGTTTGGGATTAACATACACACACTACTATATATAAAATAGAGGAAAACGAGGACCTACTGTGTAACAAACACAGAGAACTCTAAAGGGGAAAAGAATATGTACATGGATTGTTGTAAATGAACTATACTCCAATAAAAATTTAAAAAGTAAAAGTGGATTGCAGCATAACTTACATCAGCAGATTCTCATTTCTCTGATCAGGGAAGCAACAGATGATCCATTAAATGGGTGAGGAGAGGGCAGGGAGAGTATGGGGGGTGTTCTGCTCACCTGCACTCCATCCCTGTCCACCTCTGCTTCTTGCCCCCCACAGAGCTCACCATGGGTCTGCCTCTTGGATGGGGGCACGTGAGAGGGCTGTCCACCCTTGGCCCCGTCTTGCAGGTCAGCTGAGACCCTCCACCAAAAACCACTGCTCCCAGGGGACTTCCCTGCTGGTCCACTGGTTAAGACTTCACCTTTCAGCACAGGGGTGTGTGGGTTCGACACCTCGTCGGGGAGCTGAGATGCCACATGCCTCACAGCCAAAAAACCAAAACATAGTTAATGAAATCCAGGAAGCACAGAGGTGCCCGTTCAGGATAGCTCCAAGGAGAAACACACCAAGACACATATTAATCAAAAATTAAATACAAAGAAGAAAAATTAAAAGCAAGCAGAAAACAACAAAGGGAATCCCTATAAGGTTAACAGCTGGTTTCTCAGCAGAAACTCTACAAGTCAGAAGGGAGTGGCATGATATATTTAAAATGATGAAAGGGAAGACCTACAACCAAGATTACTCTACCCAGCAAGGATCTCATTCAGATAGGATGGAGAAATCAAAAGCTTTACAGACAAGCAAAAGCTAAGAGAGATTAGCAGCACCTAACCAGCTCTACAATAAATACTAAAGGAACTTCTCTAGGTGGGAAACACAAGAGAAGAAAAGGACCTACACAAACAAACCCATAACAATTAAGAAAATGGTAATAGGAACATACATATATGGATTAAATGCTCCAACCGAAAGACGCAGGCTCACTGAATGGATACAAAACCAAAACCCAAACCCATCTATATGCTGTCTACAAGAGACCCACTTCAGACCTAGGGACACATACAGACTGAAAGTGAGGGGATGGAAAAAGATATTCCATGCAAATGGAAATCAAAAGAAAGCTGGAGTAGCAATACTCGTACCAGATAAAATAGACTTAAAGACTATTACAAGAGTTAAGGAAGGACGAAGGACACTACATAAGGATCAAGGGATCAATCCAAGAAGATACAACAATTATAAATATATATGTACCCAACATAGGAGCACCTCAATACATAAGGCAACTGCTAATAGCTATAAAAGAGGAAATTGACAGTAACACAATAATAGTGGGGGACTTTAACACCTCACTTACACCAATGGACAGATCATCCAAACAGATTTAATTGATATTTATAGGACATTCCATCCAAAAACAGACTACATTTTCTTCTCAAGTGCACATGGAACATTCTCCAGGACAGATCAAATCTTGGGTCACAAATCAAGCCTCAGAAAATTTAAGCAAATTAAAATCATATCAAACATCTTTTCTGACCACAACACTACGAGACAGGGAAAACACTGTAAAAACCACAAATACGTGGAGGCTAAACACTGCACTACTAAAAAACCAAAAGATCACTGAAGAAATCTAAGAAGAAATTTAAAAATACATAGAAACAAATGACAATGAAAACACGATGATCCAGAACCTATGGGATGCAGCAAAAGCAGTTCTAAGAGGGAAGTTTATAGCTATACAAGCCTACCTCAAGAAACCAGAGAAATCTCAATCTAACCTTACACCTAAAGGAACTAGAGGAAGAAGAACAAACAAAACCCAAAGATAGAAGAAGGAAAGAAATCATAATGATCAGAGCAGAAATAAATGGAATAGAAACAAAACAAAACAATAGCAAAGATCAATAAAACTAAAAGATGATTCTTTGAGAAGATAAATTGATAAACCATAAGCCAGACTCATCAAAAGAGGCAAGGACTCAAATCAATAAAATTAAAAATGAAAAGAGGAGAAGTTAAAATGGACTCCACAGAAATACAAAGCATCCTGAGACTTCTGCAAGCAACTCTATGCCAATAAAATGGACAACCTGGAAGAAATGGACACACTCTTGAAAGGTATAACCTTCCAAGACTGGACCGGAAAGAACTAGAAAATATGAACAGACCAATCACAAGTAATGAAACTGAAACTGTGATTAAAAATCTTCCAACAAACAAAAGTCCAGGAGCAGATGGCTTCACAGGTGAATACTATCAAACATTTAGAGAAGAGCTAACACCCATCCTTCTCAAACTCTTCCAAAAAACTTCAGAGAAAGGAAGACTCCCAAAATCATTCTGTGAGGCCACCATCACCCTGTTACCAAAACCAAAGATACTACAAAAAAAGGAAATTATAGACCAGTACATGATACTGTACCTAGAGAATCCTAAAGGTGCCACCAGAAAACTACTAGAGCTAATCAATGAATTTGGTAAAGTTGCAGGATACAAAATTAATGCACAGAAATCTCTTGCGTTCCTATACACTAATGAAGAAAAATCTGAAAGAGAAATTAAGGAAACACTCCCATTTAACATTGCAACAAAAAGAATAAACTACCTAGGAATAAACCTACCTAGGGAGACCAAAGACCTGTATGCAGAAAACTATAAGACACTGATGAAAGGAATTAAAGATGATACAAAGAGATGGAGATACACACCATGTTCTTGGATTGGAAGAATCAACACTGTGAAAATGACTCTACTACCCAAAGCAATCTACAGATTCAGTGCAATCCCTATCAAATTACCAATGGCATGTTTTACAGAACTAGAACAAAAAATCTTAAAATTTGTACAGAGACACAAAAGACCCCGAATAGCCAAAGCAGTATTGAGGGGGAAAAAACGGAGCTGGAGGAATCAGACTCCCTGACTTCAGACTATACTACAAAGCTACAGTCATCAAGACAATATGGTACTGGCACAGAAACAGAAATATAGATCAATGGAACAGGATAGAAAGCCCAGAGATAAACACACACACCTATGGTCACCTTATCTTTGATAAGGAGGCAAGAGTATACAGTGGAGAAAAGACAGCCTCTTCAATAAGTGGTGCTGGGAAAACTGGACAGCTACAGGTAAAAGAGTGAAATTAGAACACTCCCTAACACCATACACAAAAATAAACTCAATATGGATTAGACACCTAAATGTAAGACAGGACACTATAAAACTCTTACAGGAAAACATAGGAAGAACACACTTTGACATAAGTCACAGCAAGATCTTTTTTTGATCCACGTCCTAGAGTAATGGAAATAAAAACAAAAATAAACACATGGGACCTAATGAAACTTAAAAGCTTTTGCAAAGCAAAGGAAATTACAAATAAGACGAAAAGACAACCCTCACAATGGGAGAACATATTTGCAAATGAATCAACAAAGGATTAATCTCCAAAATATATAAACAGCTCATGCAGCGCAATATCACAGAAACAAACAACCCAATCCAAAAATGGGCAGAAGACCTAAATAGACATTTCTTCAGATGGCCAAGAGGCACATGAAAAGCTGCTCAACATCACTAATCATTAGAGAAATGCAAATCAAAACTACAATGAGGTACCACCTCACACCAGTCACAATGGCCATCATCAAAAAGTCTAAAACAATAAATGCTGGAGAGGGTGTGGAGAAAAGGGAACCCTCCTACACTGTTGGTGGGAATGGAAATTGATACAGCCACTATGGAGAACAGTATTGGATGTTCCTTAAAAAGCTAAAAATAGAACAACCCTATGACCCAGCAATCCCACTACTGGGCATATACCC